ACAAGAACTTATCATACAAAAAAAATACAAATACATACAATAAACAAGTTGTCTGAAATCACCTGATAAGCATTTTTTAATACTACGAAGTTGTATGACAACATTTTTCCATGAAACTCTTTAGCTTGGCTTTATATTTTTGTTTTGCCTTGTTTAAAATGAAAAAACCAACAAGCTGAGCTATAACTACGTATTCCTAGATGCCAAGTCAGATGAAAATTATTTTCATAAAAAATTATTAGTAAAAATTGCACATTTTTGTACATGGCTGCTATTTTTTGAACAGTTTAGGTTATATGCTATTATCTAACTCTCAAAAGTGCAAAATATGCAATCACAGAGAACCTTCAATGTTATTTTTTAAACATTTTTTTGTAAAAAAAACTGCGCGTGGAGTAACATAAAAGCAAAAATTTTAAAATTTTTGCACGCAAAAAAAATTGAAAACAAATTTTGATCGTAAAATTGGTTTAGCAAATAAATATAAGCAAACTAAAAATCGTTTTCTTACTTTTTTATGGAAATCGCATGATCAGATTTTTTTGTCCAGAAAAAATCTAAATTTTGATGACCAATATAATCTCAATCAATTGAAACCCGTTATAAGCTCAATTAAATTCATCTAATAACCCTTTTAGAGGAATTTCTGAAAAATAATTAGTAAAAAATTGAAAAAAATGCGTAACGTACAAGTGTCATAATTAGGAATTGTATGATGAGCATTTTTTCTTGAGAACCAATGCAAGAAACCAATGCATTTTTTCAATGAAATCACGCATGGAGTTATATGATAAGCATTTTTTTAAATGAAAATTTATGATATGCAATTTTAGATGAAACTGATTGACATGCATTTTTTGTATGGAGGTCAACGCGAGAGCTTAAAAAAAGAACATGTTTTGAAACAAAAAAAGCAAAAAAAGTTTATTAACAAAAAAAAGATTTTCACTCCAAAATCAAGCGTTGTCCGTTAATAGCAGATATGTAGTTCTAAATTTTTTGAACACATCATTATTTAATTTTTTTTGGTGCACGTTCAATATTTTGGATAAATTACTCTAATTTTTTGAGTTCTACATGTCATAGGGCTGATCTGGAGAGAAATATATCAATGATAACAGCACAAAATGTGGGGCTAGAGTAAAAAGAAAAGGCTAGAACGAATTTCATAGTCGAGTCCCAAATCCGCATAACTATTTGGTTGCTAAGGCATGTGCCTATCATTAAAAAAAATACTAATCTCAGTCTACCAAAATATGTTAAGTTTTTATGCCAAAACAGTGGTCTCGTATCAGGATGAAGCCCCTGAATGATCTGACTGCCTTTTAAAGTCTATGAAAGAGTTTTCACTTTTAAAAAATAATTCAATTTCCAAAAAAAAAAAATATATCACCGCACACGCTATTTAAAGTACAAATTGATATAATTAGCATAATAGAGCAAAGTATTAAATAGTCCAAATAGTATATGCATCAGTTTAATTTGGAATGATTTCAAGACGGATAAAATATCCGCTCAGGCGTTAATAGCACGAAATATTTTGCGCGTGAGTTTTCCCAAATTGGCCATCTTTTAAACCCCCATAACGAAAAATGATCACAGGTGAAATTTATTTATATTTATGGCTTAAGAAAACAATACCTTTCGAATGACACAAAAAAAAACCTTCGAAAATAGCATGTTAAAAAGTCGAAATTTGTGGAGAAAAAACCACTCCGAGCACTAATATTTTGTCACTTTCTTCGAAATTAGTCGGAACAACAAGCGCAAAACGGTCTAAAGCACAGATTTTTATAGTGTTATTTTAAATCAGTGGCTGAAATTTGTCGCTGTAGTACCTAAAAGATGTAACCAACACTTTTTATTGAGGAGATCCCACTGCAACTACTGATTCAATCGCACGTACTCTACAGCCATTAGCCGATTGAAAGCACAACAAAGCGAAACAGCACAAGCATTTGCTACTTGCCAATAAAAAAACAATCAAGTAAAAAACACAGTCCCTGTGTGCGAGGGAAACCTTCGGAAAACGATGTACTTACAATTAGGGGGAACCCCGGTTCATCTGCCAGTAAATAATCAGTACTGTTTCAACTTGAACCCAACAATATCTTTTTTTTTCAGTACTGTTCCAGGACATATTACTGTTCCAAAGACATATTCCAGGTATACATATTACCAGGGGCCGATCTAGGATTTTTTCGAAGGGGGGATTTTAAAAAAAATTTGTCGACCTTTTTTTTAGGTCGACCGAATTGATTTTTTGAGATCTCCCTAAGCAGGTTTAGTCCCCTGTTTTGGCCAAATTTTCTGCGCCGCAGGCGAAATTTTGAAAAACAGTCCAAAAAAGGCGTTTTTAGGCACTTTTTGGAAAATTTTGGCCAAAAAATTGCGTTTTTTCGGTCCCCCCTCAAAGTTAGTATATATTGACGCCAAAGGCGCCTTTCGAAAAATTTACGGGTCGGTCGGCTGAAAATTGATTTCTAAAAAAATACTAAAGGGTCGGCAGAGGGTCGGCCCTTTGGGTCGGCAGGGGGTCGAATCCCTGAGGAAAAGGGCGTCCGCCCCTCCCCCTAAATCCGCCCCTGCATATTACCATTGGCTGGAACTTCCACCGCTAATTTCACAATTAAAATAATTAACATTAACAACTGTCACTAACTTCAATTTTTGTGAAAATTGTCACTCAGCGGCGGAATCACTTTGCAATCGTAACAATTAACACGCGAGTTGCGAATCAGATTAAATTTTTTCCGAAAGAACTATTAAATTAATGATGAAAACTGAATAAATTCTCATAGTGTTGGATGGTCGGATGAATTTGATCCTGCTTTAAATCCCGAATGAATATTTTCTACTCCACTTCAGTCGAAAAATTACAAAGGCGTTTTTTTCGTTTTGTCTTAATCAAAAGAATTTAGCCCTGAGCGTAACAAACGAGCGATTACCTATAAATTATATAGTGTTTGTTTTGTAGTTTTTGCAATTTATAAAATGGTCAATTTGAAGATTTTTTGAAGCCGTACTAAATGCGTCGGGGGCTAGATTGCAAATGGGACTAGACGTGGGAGATGGGAATGCTTTGTAGGTTCAGTTGATATTAACGAAATCCAATTTAAAAAAATCAACTCTATAAATTCCCAGAGCGCTTTAGCGCCCGTATCCATTTAACTTGACAGTTAGGCAGTTAGAAACTTTAGGGTATAACCTTTCAAAATGTCACCCAGTAGACTGAGAACTTTGATTGGTTCTCTTAGAGAAAACAAATCAAATGCAAATTCGGTAATAGCACTACCACTGTCAGTCATAGTCACAAAATTGAATAATCAAAGTGATAAGATAGAGGTTTTGGGCAAAAAAAAACAATAAGACTTTTTTGATTTTCGAAAACAGTAGCGAATAATTTTCGCTCAGTTTTGTGTTTGTGTTCTGATTTCAAAATGAACCAAGCTGTTAATTGCAATCACTTTCTGTTGGCAATGGGCAGCTTAATAATTGCCAATTCGACCGAACTTGATAACTTTGTGCATGATTTATTTCTAGTTTGTTTGCGAGCGTTTAGGCAAAAAAAATAATTGCAAAAAAGTTAAAGGTAAATTCTGAAAGGTTTGCTGATAAAATTAGATTTGAATCGAAGTGGTTTTCAAAAAATGGATGATACTTCTTTAAACTAAAATTTGAAATGCAAAGAATGGAAGACTTATAAAAGAACATTTTCTTTTATTTTAAAGTAAGTTTGAGTTTGAAACCATTAGTTAAAAGTAATGGCCTAGTTGACCTGTAGACCTATAACCGACATACTATAAATAAAAAAGTAGGCTGTTACGTATTACAAAAGAAGACTGTCATGGTCAATGTTATTGTCATTTTTTGCTAACTTTTGTGCCATTAGCGCTCTTGGAATGGACTCAAATTGATTCTTTTGTCATTCCATTACACGCTACATAACTAAATACTTACTGCATGTACACACTTCTAAATTGCGCAGTAACAAATAGAATCAAGCTATCGTAGCCAAGACGTTTTTTGTCTTCGCTGATTTCGAGAACAACCGGTACTCTGGGAAGACTGGGCTCAGAAGTTTCAGTTAGTGGTTATTGAAAAAGAAGAGATCGGTATCGGGGACTTATTAGAGGAAAATATCCTTCCAGATAATCCTTATCTACACTGGAAACGAATCTAAAATTAGTAACGGAGTGAGGCGGATAAAAGATTCAAGTCAAAATTTTTTTCAAATAAATAAACGGAGCCGGAAGTATTTTTATCAAAAGCATCGTCTTAGCAAAGTTGTTGATTTTAACTTTACGGGATTTTGAAAGCTAGCGAGTGATGCATTTATAAAAGAATCAAATGTGACAAATCGGAGATTCACCTTATTCTGGAGAAAATGAGGGGTAGGAAAATCTTTAGTGCCCTGAGTGACCTGACACAGGGATGCGACTATCTACAACATGCGTAACGAAGAGGTTAAAAAACAGTTATGTATTGAAACCATAAGTCCGGCTGATACACTCCAGTTCGCAGTTGTATCTAGATGGGAGGACAAATGTATAAAAGAGTCAGTGATGGCCCCCCAAAATTTGTATTAAATAGGGGTACACCGGGGCTCGTTTTTTGATTTAAAAAATGAATCTTTTATTTCGCTTGTTAAACAAGGATACCGTATCGCTAGAGCAAAAAATTGAAGCGATAATAATTAACGAAAAACTATAAAATATCGATTAAAGAAAAAAATCAGGGATGTTAAGTTGTTATTTGGGTAAATTGATCAGTTCAATCGTTTCATAGCGAATTTGGCCGCTACGAATGATTCTTTCCCCGACTTGTCAGATTTATTTGTTTGAAGCACCATTAAGAATTGTGATAGATCATCAGGCATTATTACTTTGTTTACTGATAAAAATAGTCCAAAAAATAATACATATGTATGGACGTGTGGTGTGTGTGTGTGTGTGTGTTTCTCTGTGTATTATTTAATGTTTGATTGTATGGGTACTCACAAGCATCTGAGGGCGATGACGATGAGGAGGAAGAGGAGGAGGAGACAGGCAATGACAGTCAGGAAGATTACTCGGGTGCTCCTCACTAGAAATACGTGAAACAATTTTCACTCAAAACTTAACTTTTTATCCCCCCCATTCTCTCAAAAGAGTGAGACACAAAAAAATCATGAAGTAGGGTAGATATTTGGGCTGGGGGAATATTGCACTACCTCAAATAAACTTCAAACGGGCTGAAATTGGATTCATTGTTTTAAAGTTTTTTTTTGTCATTAACTCGCATAAATTCGCTCAAAACGCGTCCATAGCGCTGTCATTTATTCCGCTTTTTTGCTACTTTCCTGTTAGTTTCAATGTCTGTACCAACCCCGGTTTTAATCAACTATTTAACGCTTCTGCTGAAAGACAATTCACGCAGTAGCGTGCCGAGGAGGGGGGGGGGGTGGTTGCCCTCAATTCTGGCTGCCAAATTTTTCCAAAGGGCCCCCCCTTAGGTATAACTTTTCTACATCCATTTTTTCCTGACCAACCTCAAAAATTTTCTAGTTATATTGGCGCCTTTTGTGAGCCAATATAACTAATTTTGAGGGGGTGGGGGCAGCGCGCGACGAAACAATGCGTTTTTTGGCCTCAATTTTCCAAAAATTCCTGAAAACGCCTTTTTTGGCCTGTTTTTTGGAAAATTTGTCTGCGGCGAACAAAATTTTTTGACTAAATAGAGTCCTTATAGTTTTTTCGGAGAGCTCGGAAAAATAAATTGGTCGAGTTAAAAAAACAAAGGCCGACAAAATGAACAAACATTTTTCGAAAAGCAGCCCCAGCCCTAGAAAAATTTCTGCGCATGCCACTGATTCCACGTGGTGATAACTAACCGAGTTTTCTTGCCCGAGTTGGTGCTTTGGATTCATTTTGATTCTGCAGCTGTGATTGGCTGGGAAGCTGAGCTCCTGAACTGTTATTTGATGTTTCCTCATTGCTTAGGCCAGTTGAACGAGAGTGTCGTAACTCGGCTAAACTAACGACACTGTCGCTTGGATCGAACATATAAGCATTGCTCGTCCTGTGCATAAGGTCGAACATGTCATTTAGCCGAAAATAGGAATTGTCTCTCAATTTCGAGCCCATTAGCCAAATGTCTGATTTGGCCGAAACAGGCGCTAAACTTTGAGATGAGATCAAGAAAAAGCTAACTAGAAAAATGGCAAATAGATTGTAAAATGAGATAGACTGATTTGATAATTTGATATGATGATCCAAAGTACCGATTAAATTTATTGCATGTGTCGTCGATGTTTGTATTGGTTCGGCTTTTTCCTTCCAGAATGAAGTTTTCAAATTAATTTTCTTCTTTTTTTTCGCGCGAGGGGGACAAGGGACTCGGGGGTAGATGCGGGGGGTTGAAGTAGTCGATGTCCTGGTGCACCCTTTGAGCATGTCTCATTACTGATGCAACTCCAATGGGTTTCAGTTGACTACGCACTAAAAAAAACGAATTCGCTCCTCGAAATTCACAACGAGAATGCGACTTTGATCGCGAAAAAGTTTTTCAGCATTCGAATTTTTATAGTTCTCAGGACAAACAGTTGTTGAGGAATACAATCCCAAGCCTACTAGAATGAATATCTTGAAAACTTTTAGGTAAAATGACAAAGTTATGCAAAATTTATTCGGGGAACAATCGTTTTGCAAGTTTTTGAAAAAATATTTTTTCATTATTCTTTTTCAATAGCTAAAAAAATTGGTTTTTACCAAAAAAAAACCTAATTTCAGAGCTTTATTTAGAGTTTCCTTGGCAAAAAAATTCTAAAAGGTTGAAAATTTATTTGTGAACACATTAGAAACATTTTGCAAAACTTTTCATAATTTTTTTTTCATTGTTTTGTTTGTTATCTGTTCATGAAGACAATTGTTGTCGATTGTGTACTTTTCACAAACTTTCTACTTATTTATGCAGTTTTCACATCAAACTGCACAAAAAAACGACACTAGTTTGAAAAAAAGTGTATATCTTTTTTGTAGTTTTCTTATGAACGTGATCGGATAAATACAGGCTATCCTTTTTACTGTGTAAATTCGGCAACATTTTATATTCGCTTTTCATCTTTAAAATCCCGTATCGCATACTTTGCATACATATATATTTTTTGTAAACTTGTTTTGATTTTTTTCAAGCTTTTTATGCCGAAAATGGTTGGTGTAAAATATGAAGCAAAGAGGCCTCTTTTCATGCTGAGCAGCCGAATGTGTGATGATTCGAGCGACCCTTAAAATCGGAGCTTTAAATCCCGTTTCTGCTCGAAATGCTAGGGCATCTAATTTGATCTTCATGTTAATAAATACTCGCTTATCAGAACGAAAAACTTGAAAGTGTTTTAGTCAATGACTTAAATTTATGCAAAACTTATCAGGTAAACACTAGTTTTGCAACTTTTAAAAAAGATATCTTTAAAAGCAACAAAAACGAGTTTGCAAGCTCTCCCAATAAATCAAAAGTGAAAGACACAGCTCGCCAAATTCGGCCAATAATTACTTTTTTGGGACTTTTTTCAAAATTTTGAAATAATTGTGATTTTTCGCTTTGTCGCAAACTAAAAATTAGTATACATCTAAGCGTCCAAGGCCAAGTTATAACTATAGTAAAATTACTCCACCTAAAAATATGATGTAATTGCCAAAATTTTGTAGCAAGCATAACAATCAATAAGCTAGTTTTTTGCCTTGATATATCAGGTTTGCGACTATAATTTTTAAAAACGAAGTTTTGTAGCAAAAATTGAATACGGGCAACAAAAACTTTTCCCGTATAGCATTTTTCAATTGATCCCAACAAAAGACCTCCTTTTGTGTTTGGCAATGTATCAACAAATGCTTTCGACTAAGATTTGGCTCTGCATTCAATCCTAACTAGACTAATGCATTCAACTTTGCACTCAACGACGTTTCAATCAATGTAGTCTACTATGTTTTGGATTTGTTTTCAACCATGTGCAGGCCAAGATTCGATTAAACAGTTTTACTTCTTTTGTATTAAGTGTTCGACTATAATTCAATTTCCGTTGAAAAGACTGTTTTTTCGTCCTGCAATTCAGATTTTTTTTACAAAAAGGGTATTCGACTATTTTACATAGTATTTGACTATGTTTTAACCAGGTTTTCGACAATGTTTCGAATTTGAGTTTGGCAAAAAGGGCTGTTTTCGACCACGGATTTTGGGTCGAACAACATCTGTGTATTCATTCAACCAAATTCGGTCGAAACATAGGTTGGGCACCCCAACCCGAGAAAGAGCGCCTTTTTATTATATCTTTATACTTCTTTCATGTTATGGTTGTTGATCGGAAAGGTACTCAAAAAACAAACGCCACAAGTCAGGTATTTAGTCCTTTTTGTTTTTTTTTTCTAATAACTTCGAAAATTATCAATCCGGCTAACTCGCAACTACAACTTTTACGTAATTTTGCAAGAGCAAGTGTTTTTTCAATGGTTACTAGGTTTTTCCTGTAAACACTTTTTTCCTGTAAACATCTTATAAATTTTTTCGCTGATTTTTTTTGCCTTTTCTGCGCTTGATTGTTTATTCCGTCAATAGCTCATTTATTCATTTAAAATACAGCTTTTTAATGATTGTATTGAATATTGAACTCATCAGTAGAGGCAGTACAACCAGTTTTAAAGTACAACAGTGCCGAAACTGAAAACTTGTTCAACAGTGTTTAAAAAGAATTGAATTAATACTGTTTAGTTTTGGCGCAAAATTAGAATAAAAATTGGCAATTTGCTGAAATAACGGTTTATTGTTTAGTCCGAAAAACTAATGATGTCGTGGGTGTTTTTTAGTTGTTTAACAAGCGGCATCAAGTAATTTTGGCTAATTTTATCTTCTTAGGTTCCGTCAGTTTGATTTAATTTACTTTTCAATTTTCAAAAAAATTTTTGACTCTGTTGAACAACGTTTTGTTTTTGACACTGTTCTACAGCCCGCCTGGTTAATACAGGAAAAAAAGTTGTCCAGCAGACAAAAAATAATAATCTTTTTCGGGCAGACCAAAACTTAAAAAGTTTTTTAGGCGCCTGCAGAAAAAATTTAGAGTAGGTGTGATGAAAATGAATGCCTTAAAAATATAAAGATGTCTTGAAATGAAAATATAAAACAATTCTAATATATTCAATATTGCGTTTTCTTTCGGCACGCAATCTCCCCTCCATGATTCCTGTATATTGGCATCGAAGGCCTCGGTACCAATATACAAAAATAATGAGGAGAAACTGCGCGCCGAAAGAAATCGCAACATTGACATGAGCATGCCGAAAAGTATTCAAAAACCTCTACTTATTTCAAAAAATTGTCATATATGCGAAATGAGGTCAGGTCGTTCTAGGGCTTCGACATAGTTCAAAAATCCCGATGACCGACCTAGAAGAAGCTCGACAATATTTTTAAATAGCCGCCATCGCCGCCAAAAAAATTTAATGCTGTTACTTTAGAACGCAAAAACAAATCTACTTTAAACAAAAGGTAAAAGAAGTTTGTCACCTGATAAAAATTGAAACAGCAGCAGAAGTAGCCGGTAAATTTGAGTAAAAAATCTTCACACGAGCTCAAAGTTGGCCGAAACTGAAGTATAATGTAGACAATTCAGCACGTGAACAAATAATGGGTCTCCCTTCATTGATTTCAGTTTGTTCAGTTGTTGGAGTTCATCGGACAACTTTTACGAGTAAACTGTGTGCAAGCAAAAGTAGTTGGTAAGAATGATAGAATCGTTTTGAAATAATTGATTAATCGACAATTTCCTGTCAAATAGTTCTGTATCGAGCGCCCATAGAGCCCTCTGTAATCAATTCACACCTGCAACCAACAAATCATCAAAAATTGAAAATATTCAATATAATTGCGGTTAAGTTCGCGGCAATTCACCTAAATTTGCATTGCTATTGGTACATATTATCTGCTATACGCTTGCTTGAAGTTATCCCTGTACTTGATTGATTGAATGAGATATTGTTTTTTTTTCAGGGAAATTTAATTTTGAAAAAAAAACGAGAAGTAACGATGATAATAGGCAAAATTTATACATAGGTTAATCACACTTCGGCTAGTTAAGTCTGCAGACAACACTTCGGGTGTTTATAATTGACGATAGAAAGAAATACAAAATTGGCTTTTTAAGTGAACAAATAATAATCGAAACATCTAATTTAGGACTAATTTTTTATTAACTACTAGGAGTTTTTCTATTTATTGGCGTTTTTCAGGACTATTTATTGACGGCGTTTTTCAATCTGAAATCTAATTAATTTTGTGCTTGTAGCGGGTGAGAAATCGATCGGGCCTTTAAGGACTGTTCTATATGCGCTGTGTTCTCTGCTGTTTGATTCTTCTTCTGTCATTTGTTTTTGTATTCTGACGTGCTATAAAGCAGAGGTCACTGGTGGCGCATCACTTTGATATTAGGGGCGAGAGGCACGGGTTTTATGGGCAGAAGGAACATTACAACTGTACGTGTGTCAGTTTCGCTGCTAGTTAGATTGATTATTTCTATAAAAAGACTGGAGGGGGGGTATTCATTCTCATGACTGAAATGCCAAATCTGCTAAACTTTTCTGCGTTTCTTAAAATTTTTTCAGCGTTTCTTAAACGTATAATTTTCTTTTCCTTTTTAGGTTGTAAATGGGTTCTGATTGGCTAGGGCATTTCAGCCCCCACAATCCCCCCCCCCTCTTCAAAAGCGAGGATGTACTCAACTAATGTCAAAAAAGAAGAGTTAATTATATATGTGTAGACCTACAGCGATGTCACCGCGCTCGCATAAATTGTAACTTTTGTTATCAGCATTTTTTTGAAATGATTCTCGCTTGAAGTTGGAAAATCTTCCTTAAAACTCTAGTTGTTTTGTCCTGTGAAAAAGTTAAAATCCAGAGAAAAAATTGTTCTGGAAACTTTGAAGGATTTTTTTCTTTGTTAAAGAAAGCGTAATTTTATCTGATTTATTCCATTGGCATCTAAATAGGATAAAAAGAGACAGAATTTTAATCTTCATGTCTCATGTGCATAATTTGGTTGTTTTTGCATCCGTCTCAAAGATGATGCTATTTTACCTAGCAGGAAGAAGCATTCATATCTATCTTTTTTCTTAGCACCAATCTATCGCTGAAAAAACAAATCCCATACTTTCCTATAGCATTTACTTTTATTTTTTTTTGCTCTGAGAGAAAAACCTATGGCAAAAAAAAGTAAATGAAGAATAAAGGAATCCGAATCAGTAGCAGATATTTGACAAAAATATAGAAAAATTTAGCAAACAAAACTCAACTCAATGTTGATAAATTGCAAGAAAAGAGAAAAAATGAAGTAAGATTCTCTGAAATAAAATCCTGCAGATCAACCATTCAAAAAAATGTCAAGGAGAAAAGAATAAGTCGCGGCTGAAACCTGAACTGCTTTCCTTCCATCAACTCCCTTTCAAAAACCCACCATAACAATAAGCACAATACTAATATAATAACATTTTTTGGTTGAAAATAGAAAACTTGAGGTATAACTATTTAGTCCACTATTCAATCTTCATTCAATAATATCGTAGAGTACAGGCGTTTTTGCTTAAAAATGGCAGAAATTGAATTTGAAGAGCGAAAGGGTTTAATGAAAAAAAATGACAATCAATTTTGTCTGATTCCAATTGTCGTAATTTTTTCCCCAATTGTACCTAAGTATTTAATCAGTTCTTCTTGATCCGATCAAAACAGCGAAAATAAACAACAAAAATTGATGGAAATAAATTGGATTTTCTTAACAAGTGGAGGCATTTTTGTTCATATTGGTGATATATTTCTGTTCAGCGGGGCCGCTTGTTCCCTGGTGTAAAAATGGAAGATAAGGCAGAGTAAAATAGTATTGCAGGGGTAGAAAATATAACAAACAAACAAATAAAATACGATAGCAGCAAAACCAATCAATTGATTTCAGGGCTTATTTTACCATAAAAAATCAATACAAAAGTCAACATCTTTTGCTTGTATGTTTTTCGCAAATAAAGATATGCATAGTTTTTACTCTAAACATCACATCTAAGCAAGCATCATTTTGCTTGGTATGTTTTCAATTACGGTGACATTTCAAAAAATCTTTTTTTTTTCGGATGGTTTTAAAACATCGCAGATGGATTTATGTTTTTAAATAAGAGTTTATGAAACCTGAAGAGGAAAATATGACTAAATATCAAAGAAAAAACGGTAAAAAAATAACTGTAATGAGACAATGGGTGTTCGGTAAACATCCGATATGTCAAACATCCGCTATGTCATTTATCCGAAAATAAATTTATCCGACCGCCCTCCCACCCTCATCACTGGTTGCCAAACTTTTCCAAAGGATCCCCCCTTTGGTATAATTTGGTAATTGGTATAATTTTACGACATCCATTTCTGGTTGACCAATCTCAAAATTTTTCTAAAGACGCCTCTGGCGCCAATATTACTAATTTTGAGGGGGGTGGAATGCCGAAAAATGCATTTTTTTTGGTCAAAATTTTCAAAAAGTGCCTAAAAACGCCTGTTTTTTGGCCTGTTTTTTTTTTTAAATTTGCTTTTAGCGAAGAAAATTTGTCAACAAAATAGCGTCTATTATTCTATTATTTTCGAAGAGCTCTGAAAATGAAATTGGTCGACCAAAAAAATAGGTCGGCAAAAATTGCAAAAATTTTTAAAACTCGGCCCCCTAAAAAATATTCTGCGCACGCCCCTTCCATTTTTTATTTTTTTCAAGATGTGGCTGTTATTATTATTTCGGCCAATACAGCATCTTCTAAGCGAACGGTAGAAATCGTATCTTTTTCTTAATTTTATAAAAATGTCGGATGTTAGCGCTAGTAAAGCTGTTTTTTGGATACTTGACACACTTTTTGGTTTTTCATACCGGTTGTTTGCTCGGGTCACAAAAAATGACGGTAGTCACGGTAGGTTTTTCCATTGAACTGCAATGAAACGTATTTATTAAAAAAAAACAGGAGAAAAGTGAAACAAAAACGAAAAGAGCGAGTCAGATAATTGATACTGCTGCGTCTCAAGTTTGCTGAAATAAGTTTGCGCTAATGAGGTTCGTTAAAACAGCAGGCAATGCTAAAATAGTTTTTTTTAGAAACACTATCCTAATTTCATTGGAAAACTTAGAAATGGAAAAAAATCATTATTTGCAGCGCAAAGTTATGCGGATAATGATTTTTGTGCTTTATTTTTCCCCCAGACTTCAATCAATTACTTATATATTAGCCCCCCCCCACCTCTGCTCGGGGGTTTCCAGGCAGGCTATTTATGTCTTACTCCACTGAATTGAATGGGGGGCTATTCTCATCCGCGAAGGACCGAATGGGCGAAAAAAAACTTGAGGGCCAAGGACCAAAGACAAAATTAGCCGAAAGTCAATTTTTAAAAAGAAGTAATTGCCATTCAATTAAAATAAATTAAATGAAGCAATATTTTGCTTCTTTCATAACGAAACCCTTGAAACATAAAGTTTTTCCCAATTCGGCGGCGGCCAGTGACAATTTGAAAATTTTGCATATTTATGCCGGTTTTATATTTGGCCAATATCAATACTCAGTCCCTGGAAATCTTTACTTTCTTTCTAAGTTTTAGGTAACTGAAATCTGATTGGCTGATTTTTATTTTCGCGCATTCGGTCCTTTGCGAATGAAGGATTCCACCAATTGAATGAGAGATTTTTTTCAAGAAAAAAAAATAGACCAAGTCTTTAATCAGCGAAACCAGATGTTTAAATCATCAGTGATATCTTACGTTTAAAATGATAAATGTTTTTAATAAATAGTTAGAAATATTTCTCCGGGCTTTTCAACTCTCCGGGTAGCCAGTCTAGCCCGCATCGAAACTCGATGGGCCTTAATCGGTTAAAATATATTTTCTTTGTCAACTGTTTGAAAGGCTCTTCAAAAGTATTCATGCAATGAAGTGAAGTAATTATAGATAACAATTCAAACAAAATTAAAAACTATTTCAATCAATTATAAATAACCCAACAAAGTTCAAAAAATTTCAAATATTTTTTTGATTTTGCATCACTGATGTACGTAGTTGTGCAAAAACTATAATTTTTATTTTGTTAATTAATTTAACTTTTCTGAATATTTTGACATGCAGTCGGGGAAAGAAAATTAGAGGTACTGTTAGTTGAACTCAAAAAATTTTCGAAAATTTTGTCGATTTTTTAGTAAGTCAACCAAATTAATTTTCCGAGCTCTACCAAATCACTAAAAAGACCCTATTTTGGCCAAAATTTTTAGCCGCATGCCAATTTCAGAAAAAAAAACACAGGCCAAAAACAGCTTTCAGGCACTTTTTGGACAGTTTTGACAAAAAAAAATCGTGTTTTCGGTGCGTGCTTCCCCCTCCAAAATAATATATATTGACGCCAAAGGCGACTTTAGAACGTTTTAGAGTCAGTCAGACAAAATGGAGGTCTAAAAATATTACCAAAGGAGGACCCTTTGGTTAATCAGGGAGTAGAATCCCTGAAAAGAAGCGTCCGCCCAGCCCACCCCCCCCCTCCGTTATATCCGCTATTGGGGTTTAAATGAATGTTAATTATAATTAAGTAAAAAAAAGTTTATTTGTATCAAATTACACCTATTACCTTGGTATTCTTAAATTGAAATGCCAATTAAATCACATTTTAATTCCTTTACGGTTTTTTCTTCAGGTTAGCATTATCTGTTCTAAGAATTGGGTAAAATTCAATTATCGCCGGCCAACTTCGGATTGGAATTATATCTGCATAGGCAATTAGATACCACTTGGCTGTACAAATCTAGACGAATGATAAATGACACAAAACAA